TTTTTTTTTTTTTTTTTTTTACCAGGGCAGCGTCATTGTGTTTGCCTGAGTCTAAGTCTGTGCCCTTGTGCGAATGTTGTTGTCCGTGCTGTGTTTGTGTGCATCAAGCTGGGGTAGACTGGTAATAGGAAGAAACACAGGGGCAGACCCGAAATTTGGCAACGGAAGAACTTACCGGAAGCTCTAGACGGTCAGGGGTAGTTGTAGAATTTGATAAGGACCCGGTAGGCCTTTTTCAGCAACTCAGTAGATAGAATGGAGCCCCCTGCAAGATAGGTAGGACCGTACGACTGGATGCTCTTATCATCACTCCTATCTGTTGTCGCGGGTGGATTTTCTTAAAAAAAGACAAAAGAAGGCCCAGTAATGTAGGCTCTGGGGGGAAAAGTTCTGAGTAACTCCCAACATGCTACAGAGGTCGAAGGGGGTAGATTCAGGCCCTGGGGGGGTAATTTGCAGGCTCCAAGGGGGTAGATTCAGGCCCTTGGGGGGGGGGGGGGGGGGGGGTTCCTTCCAAACGGCAGGAACATCCAGTAGGTCCAGGCACCATGAAGGGAGGCCAAGCCACAGTGAAATTTAGCCAGGAGTCGCTAAATTTCACTGTGGTAAGGAAACTACAGTCTTCACTCGAATAGAACGGCGGCTGCCCGGTCATTATCGCTGCATCTGGACTGAAAGTCGGGCCAAATGCAGCTATAATGACCAGGTGTTCTATTTGGGTGAAGACGGTAGTATATCATTTGTTGAGTCCTTTGGGACATCCGTTAAAATGGGAATGATGTAGAGAAGATTAGCATGGACCCTGTGGAAGGAAGACGCACATATAAAAAAAAAAAAAAAAAAAAAAAAAAAAGAAGAAGAAGATTAGCATGGACCCTGTGCAAGGAAGACGCACATATGAAAACAAAAAAAACAACAACAACAAACAAACAAACAAAAAAACCTTGGTCCCTGCGCAAGTATATCATTTGTTGGCGAGAGCAGTAGAGCTCGCTCTTGGGCTCGTTCTTTAAGTGAGAGTCTGTGAGACCCTTGCTCTGCTCCCGGACCGCCAAGGTGGGGAACTTGGAGGAGCACTCGAATGAGACGGTGGAGATGGAGGATGATGGTGAAGACCTCGATGGCTATGGAGGAGGAGTACTGCAAGGTGAGCATCAGTCCGGTAACCGTTCCTATTCCAACCGGCAAGTCAGGATAAAACATTACATCATGAAACCCACTCACGCTTCCTTCCGTCCGGCCGAAGGATCCCTGACCACCATTGATTACTCCAACATCGTGGAGGATTGACTGTCAGCTTGCCTTACTTCCTGCTTCCCTCTCAGGTCACACCCGGCCGAACTGCATGACCTATTTTATATAATTATACAATTTATACTTGGATTCTACTAACTTAAATATAAGGATTTATCGTAACCAAATACGTTATCAATTACTTCCTTATTTAAGGTTGTTTTTTAATCCAAATTTAGATAGATCAATTGCTCAATTTGCAGAAATTTTACACAGTGAAAGTCTTTTTCTTGAAACTTCAAACCACTAGTACCTCCGAGCCTGTTTTTGCCGACCCTGAATTTCACTGCGCTCCGAGTTATCAGAAGGGGGCGAGTAGTTTTTTTTTTTTTTTTTTTTTAAGAAGGGCGTGTAGATTATTATTAACTCACGAGTCAAGACTTCTGCAGAAGCTGACAATTGACTGCTGCGAAAGTTATGCTCAGTGAAACCGAAACTGGTTGTACCCAGCCCAGCCCACATGTGGCTGAGTGGGCGGAAAAACAAAAACACTCCATCACATGCAACCGTTAGTAAACACAGACGAATGAATGCAATCAAGTTGAACTTAGTGGTTGATCCCTTTCACAAAAAACGAAGGAGCTGGTCCAAAGCAAAGCTGGTACAAAGCTGGTCCAAAGCAAAGCTGGTTCAAAGCAAAGCTGGTCCAAAGCAAAGCTGGTCCAAAAGCTGGTCACATGTTTTGTTTTCAAGCAGTAACTCCAAGGCATTTCCATCAAATTTTGTATAAAGAGTGGGCCCGGGTCGCTTGCTCGCAAAGTACTGCCTTCGCCACTTTTTTTCAATTTAATTTAATTTAATTTAATTTAATTTAATTTTTTATTTTTAAACCAAAAAACAGAACCTTATGGTTCTGACTCCTTTTCCATTCTGGGGAGCTGCTGCAGTATTAGAAGATTGTGGTCTGTGAAACCACGATTCCGAAAAAAACTCCCAGTCCCAACATCCAATACGAAACCCCTGGACACTACCCGAATACAGCGTCTGTTGGTCATTATAACTGTATTTTGGGCCAACTTTGAGTCTAGATACCGCAATAATGACTGTACTATGTTGTATTCGCGTGAAGAGGGTAGGCCGGATTCGTCTCTTGTACACAGAGTGGGGTCAGGTAAATTCAAGGGTGAAGGTCTTGAGGTATTATCATCGGACTAACCAGCCCAGGTAAATTCAATATTCAATATTGTGTTTAATGTGACACCCGGTGGGTGGCCTTTTCAGCCCAGGGTGGCCTTTATTTATTGCCTTCAGGGAACCCCCAATGGGGGGGGGGGACACCGGCCAGGGGACAGCCGGTAGCAGAGGCGACGAGCGAGCATCATCTGAGTGGCCAGTCGCTGTGCCTCCCTCCCCGATTACCCCTGACCCCCCTATGAACATCAGCAGAGACTGCTTTTTAAACCACCAGTACTTGGGCACTGCGCTCCGCGCCGGCCGCACCTTTTTTGAAGCGGCGCGGGCTGTAGATGCGATTGATAGACTGCCCGCCGGTAGCTAAATTCTCGTACCATACCTAACCTGCAGCAGGGTCGGGTATTGGGCGGGGGGGGCACCGGGGGGCACCAGTGGAGTCTCCCTCCATCCCCTAGCCTCTGCCATCCACTCACTATCCTCATGGCGTCCATTGTACTCTGCAATAGCATGTGTTTCGAAAAGGCTGAAGCAACAGAAAACAAGCTGCAGTGAAATCAGCTGAAAATACCGAAGAATACTGAAGAATACTGAAGAATACTGAAAATTTCTGAGAATTGTGTGGGGAGTCTCACCTGCTGGGAATCGGGCCCAGCGTCCCATGAATGCATCTGAACAAAACAGTGCCCCTCCCATAGCTCCTGCGCCCCACCTGCAGTCCTCATGGCGTCCCGTGTCCCCCCTTTTTTTAATTTTTTTTTTTTTTTTCAAAGGCCCTTTGTGCAAGACCAATAACAGAAACCCAGCTTGGCCAACCTGAGAAGAACAGAATGACATGCTAACAGAATAACAGAAAAACCACTTGGCCAAACTAGGAAGAGTCAGAAGATACAGTCAGGAACAGAGAGGAGGAGAAGGGAACAGAAAGCATGAAAACGAAAAAGCAGGAGAAACAGGAAGGCAAAGACGAAGAGAAAGGGATCCTCAGGGAGGGGGGGGGACTTCCTCCAACGCCAGTGGGGGGGGGGGGAAGGGGTCTGCAAAATCTTGAGCCGGCCGTAATTTCTCACTGGGATCAAGGGTTGTCCACTCATGGAAAATCAGCTGATAGTCTCTTGCTATCGCGGCCGGGGTCCTTCTTGTCGTTCTCCTTCCTGCTGGCGATCCCCAGACCATCTTACCTCCGCCACCCATCCATTTCTTTCTCCCCCTAACCAATCCTGACTGAATCTGCGATGATCCTGTGGATGTCTTGCCAGGAATTCACT